TATATTATATATAAAGTAATGATGAAGTAAGCACCTTGTGCGTGTTTTCCTTGATGATGTCCCTACGGTCGGCCCCTGTCAGATTAGTAGAGCGGACATCCTGCACCAGAACGAGGAGGCTGATCTGTGAGGAAGAAAGTCTCCCTTGTAGGTCAAGATACATGGGTATTGTTTCATCCAAAGCTAGACAAATGTGAGGCAGCGTGGTGGAATCAGGCTCTCGTCATTTTTGGGGGATATTGAGTTATTGGTATCATCTTACAGCTTGTTCATGTGTCTTCCTTTCAAAGAAAAAATTACCCAACCCGCTTCAATAGAAGAGGAGGTATTTTGGATTGAAGGAGGTGGGGGTCACCTGATTTAAGAGGAGAAATTAGCGAGAAAATGGCCGCCAAAGCTTGGTAAATTCTAAAGCTGGAGAGTCCATAGAAACTGTAAATTTATATTTTTGTGCCTTTAATCAACGTTTTCGGTGAAAACCTCAAAGGAATGTGTTTGTAAATGGACATAAAATGTGTTGAGCCCAAAAAAAAAATTTTTGACAAAAATTGCTAAGCAGGGAGAAAACTGCTGTTTTCTTCGATTTCATTATTTTGACGAGAGCCTGATTCCACCACGCTGCCTCACAAATGATCTGTGAGGAAGAAAGTCTCCCTTGTAGTTCAAGATACATGGGTATTGTTTCATCTTAAGCAACACGACAAACGAACAAGCTTTCAGATGATACCATCAATAACTCCACATGCCCCAAAAATTGACGAGCGCCTGATTCCACGACGTCGGGACACATTTCTCCAGGAGAGAGTGGCCGAGCGGTCAGCTTGATCCAACATTATTGTAATTCCTTTTAAATGTAGGTGGGGTTGTTTTTTGTAGTTGTTAGTTTTAGTAACGTTTTACGGCGCTCGCAACTGCACGAGGTCATAAGAGCGCCAAGGGGTGGAAGGCAACAGATAAGTCCTTACAGGGAATCAGACTTACTCTGCTCACCTCTCTAGCCTCAACAGCACAAAGTCTGCTTCGACTAGCAAGGCGTCCTGGAAATAGCAGTTCACAAGAGAGTGACAAACATACAAAAGAAGTAGGAGAAAAAATGACGATAGTAAAGAGGAGGACGGAAAAAGCAGCAGTTGTCTTTCAAAAATCCTACCTGACCAAATTAGCCAGGTCTTACAAAGTATTGAAACTTTTCATTAAAATTTAAAAAGCAAGTTGTTCAGAAATGATTCTTGTACAAGAGAATGCAACAAAACGCAACTCCTCAAAATGCATCCTACTGTACCTTTCACTAGGCACACACACACACACACACACACAAACGCGCATACACACCCACACACACAAACGCGCATACACACCCACACACACAAACACGCACATACACACACACACACACTAACACACACACAAATACACACACACGCACACACACATATACACACACACACACACACACACACACACACACACACACACACACACACACACATTTTTCAAATTGCGTCTTATTCCACTGTTTTCACATAATGGACTCTTCCACTGTTTTCACATAATGGACTCTTCCACTAGTTTCCTTTACCGCTCACCTTCTGACAGACGACGGCGGCGAAGATAACGATGAAGAAAAGGATGTAGATGACGGCTTTCACCACCATGAGAACCGGCTGCTCGTGGACGTCTGGCTTGTCCTCTTCTTCTTCCAGCGCACTGAAAATGTCCCATCCGCTGAGGAGAACAGTTTTCTTTTGTTTAATTTCCCTCTCTGGAACTCAGATCTTCTGTGGCAGTATAAAATCTATTATAACTGTCAATATGTGAGGCAGCGTGGTGGAATCAGGCTCTCGTCAATTTTTGGGCATATCGAGTTATTGGTATCATCTTACAGCTTGTTCATTTGTCTTCCTTTCAAAGAAAAAATTACCCATCCATCTTCAATAGAAGAGGAGATATTTTGGATAGCTGGAGAGTCCGTGGAAACTGGAAATATATATTTTTGTGCCTTTACTCCAGGTTTTCGGTGAAATCCTCAAAGGAATATGTTTGTAAATGGACATAAAATGTGTTGAGCCAAAAAACAAAAATTTGACAAAAATTGCTAAGCAGGGAGAAAACTGCTGTTTTCTTCGATTTCATTATTTTGACGAGAGCCTGATTCCACCACGCTGCCTCACATATAATAAGAACAATAGAAAACAATTTTCTAACGACACTATGCCAAAGATTTTACATAACAAGATAGTTCACTTAGACAAAGATCGTACATAACAAGATAGTTCACTCAGCCAAAGATCTTACATAACAAGTTAGTTCACTCAGCCAAAAAAGTATCCGCGGAAGTCTGCACATTGGTTCAGATAGATGGCGCTGCAGTCTTTTGTCGTGAAGCTCTCTTTCATTTCTCCAGAAGAAGAATAGGAATAACACAGTTTTTTAGTTTCACTTTCATTGGGTTTTGTTTTTTTACACAAGTAGGTCTAGGGTAACTCTGTTCGCAAAGTCCGCGCTTTTTCGAAGAGGGCTCCACCGGATTTTGAAGACACTTTTAAATGGCAAAAAGAGAAGAGTGAACTATCTTGTTATGCACGATCTTTGACAATACACCAAAGATGAGTCGTTGATGCCACTGATGCGCTACGGAGTAGAAAGACCCTCAGCGACATTTTGGAAAGAGTAACGGTGGCCTAGTGGTTAGGCTCTCGGACTCGCAACCGTAAGGTCGTGGGTTCGAATCCCGTCCGGGGCCCGACGTTGTGTCCTTGGGAAAGGCACTTTACATGAATTTTCCTCACTTCACCCAGGTGGGAATGGGTACCC